GCCTTAATGACTAGGTATATACAAACCTTGTCTTCCCAATAAGGCTGCTACATTTATTCTAATCATGAGCTACCTTACTCTTTTCTCATATGGGTTAAGAGTTTACTGCTTGGTCACCATTTTCAGCAGAGGTACTTTAGCTTCTTTTCACCACCTCAACATTTTTCTCCATCATATTTCGGTTCCATATAGTAACCCTTGAGACTCTCAGAAATAACCATTGAGGTTTATGGTTACACAATCTTTGTGTTCATGATCTTAGCCTCGTGTCACTACGTGCTGGGTGAAACCCTAAATTCAATACCTAACATGAATTGACGGAAAACATTTACATTTGTATTTGTATCATGAAATCTCTTTCAGTTGTTAGATTCTTATGAAATTGTTAGTTACTATAACATTTCTCCCCTTAGAATCCAGTTTTATTCTTTTGAGATTTCACAAACAAACATCTTCAATGAGTCACTATATATATATATATATATATATATATATATATATATATATATATATATATATATATATATATATATTCCGACCTACTTGTTTAAAAGACCACATCGATCTCACAGGTACTTCATTTAGTCTCGATCTTATGTCAAGGTTCGGGATTCTAAACTGAAGCGGAAGCCACCCTTTTTAACCTAATAAAAGATGCCTTTCAATACTTCTTAACAAGTGATTGATCGTAATTCAACGGGAATCCATACAGACACTTTAAAGTCTCTCTTGACTTTGAAGAAAGTGATTCGTGCCCAGGATCAATTGTTTCGTGTCTATATTGGCATCACAAATTCCCACATAAACATCGCTTTATTTCCTTATCTTTGACACTCTATGCACGAAAATCATTGATTTTTCAAAAGTCTGTTTTGGTTCCATCATTACCTCTTGTTTGGATGACAATTATTTAACAGATAAGGTGCTGACTCAGCCGACAGAGTAACGGCTTCAATAGTGAGTTGATGGGCATGCGTGCAATAAGGAACAGTTTTTCTCTCTCATGCGTAATCATCGGGGTTGCCAACCATCACGATTCAGTCACATCCGGAACTGTTTTGTGTTTCATGAAGATTTGGGGGATGATTCTTCTCTCTCCTCTACCCACAGTATAAAAGCAACATTCCTGATTCCTTCCACATTTACAACAATCATAAATTAAACGAGCAAAATCAGGCGATTCATTCTCTACTGTTCATCTTCTTCAACATTGCATTCAATAATGGCGGACTCTTCCTCAGTTCAGGAAACCTCTTCTCACACCAACATTCTCCCCATTCACTCTCAACAAAGCCTGGTGATCGATCTAAACCCTATCGTCTACGAGAACTATATGTATCCCATTGTGTAATGTCTCAAATACTCTCCACTGGTTCTAGCCCTTTCAAAGGTTGACATTGTGCCCATGGTATGTCTTTCCCAGGTCTTCTCCACTGCTCATTATGAAAAATCAGTGGATCGAATCTACTTCGACCTCCTTTCTCACAAGACCTCCATCTCCAAGCAACGATTCTGCTGGCTTCTAGGGTGTGAACATGATGAATCTAGGTTTAATCCTGATTCCACAACTGTAGGATAGTTATTCTCGATGCTCTACAACATGGGCTACACAGAAATTCTCATGACTGTTACCAAGTTTAAAAAGTCATGTCTTCCTCCTCCATGGCACGACTTCTTCACCATTCTGTTCAAGGGGCTATCTGAGCGATGTTCTGGTTGTGATGGGGCCAGTAAATTGTTCATGACTATTCTCTATGGTCTATATAATGGCATAAACCTCGACTACAGCTCGGTTCTCTGGCAACAACTCATTCAGATCCTTGCCTCCTCCTCTCGCCATACTGAAGTGTCCTATGCCAGATTTTGGACACTGATCACCAAGTGGGCAATGGATAAACTTCATGTTCCTACCGTTGCCGATTCCCTCCTCTCCTCTATCAGTGTCTTCCACACCACCAAGATCATCATCACTGATCCGACCAAGTTCTCCTTCGTCAGCTCGATTCCAGAATCCATGTCCGCTGGTGTATCCAAGGAGAGTGTTATCATGAAGGCCTATAAGGAGTTTCGTCCTTCGGGTCCACAAGAACTTTCTGTAGAAATGGTTCAGTCCATCAATGACGCAGATAAACCAGCTGATAGAGGGAAGAAACCCGAGAAAAGGAAGATTAAGAAAGAAGCAAAGGGAGCAAAGGGTACTTCTCCTAAGAAGCGAAAACCCTCAAAGACAGATCATTCACCCCCAGTGAAGAAGAAGAAAAGTCAGCCGAAGAGGAAACTTATTCTCTCTTCTTCATCAAGCGATTCAGATGATAATCAATCTGACTCATACGAGTCAGCTAGAGGCGATACTCCTCCTCACTCGCCTGCACATGAGGTACCAGTTTCATCAAAACCTCCTTCTCCTTCTCCTAACACCATACCCTCCATTCCCACCATAACCTCCTATATTTCTATTCCCCCCATAACTACCTCTACTACCATTCCACCCACAACTACTCCTATACCACCACCTATTTTCACTGCAGCCACCAAAACCATCACCAGTGAGATTCCAACCAACGTATCTGATACGGGGGTTCGAGCTTCACAACCCGAAACTACTTCGGTACCCGAACGCACTTCTCCTACCGAACCATCCGCTACACCCTTATCTCCCACTCACTCTGCTGAAACCGAAACCTTTCTGGGAGGGGAGGATATGACCTTTGACTCCATCTACTATAGCCCCTACCAAGTCCAAACTTTGATGATGATGATGATGATGCTCCTGTTACCAAAAAGCACATCAAGGAACTCCACGAGAAGATTGATAATCTTGTGGCTTCTTCCTCTACCTCAAAATCTCACATTTCGGAGGCCGCCATTCAGGGATGGTAGAAACTCTCACCAAAGCACATGAAGCCTCCATTAGCTCAGCTGCTGCTGCTATTGACAAATCTACAAAGGCTAGTGCTGCGGCGGCCGAAAAAGTTGAAAAACTATTTCAAGACGCTCAGAATTGGCTGGAGCCTTTGTAGGTGGCATCCGAAACCAATACCAAGAAGATTCGCACGGTTGTGGAGAAGCTGGTCCATTCACTAGAAACAAAAAAAGACCACTTTGCCAGCTTCCGTCAGACCCTCAAAGAAGACAATCAGTCTTTTCAGTCTTCGGTTGCGGATCGTCTTCTCAACTTTCAAGCAACTCTTGCCGTCGAATCTACTGCAAAGGATGAGCTTGCTCGTAACTCTTCCGAGCTTCATCTTGCAACTCATCAGCTCTCCCAAGCCGAGAAGGAGATCGATTCTCTTCGGTCTGAGAAAGCTATTGTTAGGAGTTGTGTTTCGGATGTTCATAGGGCTTTATCCAACATCATCGAAGCCCATGATCCGATTCTTAACTACTCGGTGAGGCGCACTCTTGCAGAGAAGCTTGCTCCCGCTGATTTCTAAAGCTCAATTAAATCCCCCTCTGATTTCTAAAGCTCAATCACTCCCAGTTTCTTCACTAGTTCCTCCGAGAGCACCTAAACCAACAACTGTTCCTTCATCATGTTTGAGTGCTCAAAGCAAAGAAAAACAAATTATCAATGACAGTGATGAAAGTGAGGACCAAGAACCAATTTCCAGCATTCTGAAGAAACAGGCCAGGGAGAAGGAGCTTGATGAAAATGCTCGTATTGCCAGAGAGGCTGAAGCCAAAGAGAGGAAGAAAAAGGAGGCTCATGATCTCCTTGAAAGCAAAAAAAACTCTTTTTCCTCCTTGGACTCTTAAAGAGCTTGTTAAAGAAGCTATCGAGTCCCCCTGCACTCTTTGTCTTAAACCAGTGATCTCCTTGGACCGGGTTAATTCGGTGGATTCCCAATTTGACATGCCCTTGACCAGAAAAGCTTTTATCTTCCATGCATTCACCCACATAGCTGAAGTCCCTCATCCTCACCCAAAGGTTGATAAGGAACTTGTAGACTTCTATCTGAGGACAGCTCAACCTCAGTATCAGACGTGGAGCGCACAGAAGATCATCAACGTTCGGGTCCTCAAACCTGTTCGGGAGGGTAACTTCACCAATATCAGATTCAAGGTCTTAAGGGGATCCGACAAAACCGAGCATTCCATCTCTCTAGCCGATCTTCCCAACTTAAATCCTCATGACTGGATAATCCTGCACAACATTCTTCTCATTAATGAAGTGGAATATGGTCCGATCATAGATCATTTCAATAGAATGTTGGTGTGCTATATTTTGGAGGTTGCCAAGCTGCATCAAGAAGTTGCTAATGTTCTTAGAAAGAAGCCTACTATCACTCCAGTCGGTTCTGCAAGTGATTTAAACAGAATGTAGATGGGAAAGATTGATCCAAAATGAAACTCAGTCATGTTCACCAGGGCAGAAGGTCAGAAATGCTTATTTGCTTTGGTTGACAAACATCTTTACACCACTTCTTGCTTGGAGCATGTTATGGGAATCATCAATCGGTGCAAACAGAACTCGGAGAATGATAAGAAATACTTTAACGATATGATCAATTGGTACATTCACTTCCGACAAACACTTCTTGCTATTATTCCTTGCCTATTCAAAAATGTGAAGAAAGCCGGTGCCGCAGGTGCAAGCAAGCCGAAGTGAGGTCTCGCCCCTATTGACGCAAAGGGGGAGATTTTTGGGTATATGGTGTTGCGTCTTAGGCTCGTCTCTTAGCCCTATTTTGTATCCGGTATGGGCCTGTCCATCCGTGATTTGTTTGTTAGGGTTTGTGTATTAATAGATGCTTGCATGCATCTTTTCAATAAGCTTGAATATTGTTTTTACGTTTGATTTTCGAAGACAACTTTTGTAACCCTAAAATCCACTACAACGGAAGTTCTTAATCGAGCTCTGCTGAGGGTTGAGTATTCTAATCATTCGACTCATTCAAATCCATACTTGTGCTTTATTTCATTGTTTTACGTTCATTATCTACCTATTACAAAGATCTAATCGATCAAAGAGTTTATAAATCTCATCATTCTTCGTCTTTTCAACGCCTTGAAGTTTCTTTTCTCCCCCTTTGCACCCCAGTGACAGCAAGAGGGGCATTTGAAGGTAAAAGATTGAGAATTCGAGACAAAGGTGCTAATTGCTTGTGTAGAACCGATTCAAATAACAGAAATTTTTGTGATAAAAATTCTAGTATGATCAAAGTTGAACCAGGAGATGAACCAGCCTTGGAGATTATAACATTTAACTCATTTAACAACATTGTTATCTCCATGAAGTTTTTACTTTCATCAGCAGATAGTTGACTAATTTGTGGACTCAATGCTTCGTTTAATTTGACAAATTTCGTTACGCCATCAATAATAATATCCATCTTTTGGTTTAGAGATGCATAATCCTGCTGTGCAGTAGCAATCTCTTTTTACATGTCATCACAAAATTCTTGGATTTTCAAGTTAACATCCTCCCTCACCTTTTTCACATCTAGCACAAACAAAACCTGTCTTTCTTTAGCAACCCTCCGTAAATCTCTGACTTCTTCATTAAAAACTGAAGATATAGATTTTATTCTAAGCTCATTGTTCTTGTCATTACAATCCACCTTCTGAAGGGTTCGAGATTCAGAAGCACCAAGCAAAGTAGAAAACGTATTTAACAACCGAGCTTCTTGGGCTTTTAACATGACATCCACTTCAATACTGGACAAAGAATTGTTACCCCCTGCATATGCATGGATTGAATAATCGAGTTGAGCTTTTTATTTAAAATCTTAAATTGTTGTCGTGACATCAACATGTGATCAGGAATATCTTCTTCATCCATATCAAACTGAAGTTCATCATATGTTCCTCTGAAACCTCCTCTAACTGTTTCATCATCAAAATTGGTTTTTGGTGGATCGGTGGATTGTGATTGCAAAAGTGTAGTGATGGGTTGTTGTAAGATTTGATTAAAAGTAGGTGAAGTAGTGGCAGTCAAAATGTGTTGAAGAAAACGTGGAAGTGAAACAAAAGTGCTTGTGATAGGTTCAAAATAAGCTGGAGTATGAGTACCTTGAGAAGTTTGAACAACACTTACCGAAACATGTGCACCCGTATCAGATATGTTTGCAACAATGTTAGAAATTGGAACCTCTTCAGAAACTAACTTGGTTACAACTATTTCAAGTGGAACTGTTGTGTTTGGTAATGAGACTGGTGTAAGGATGAGTGGTTATGAGGGTTTTGGGGAATTCAAACCCAATAGTGTTTCTGGAATTATCTGACTGTTTGATGATTGTGCACGAACCACCAACTTTCGAGTCTTACGCTTCTTTGTAATATGTTTTTCCATATCCTCATCTATGCATTTCTTTGAGGATGGAGAAATTGGTGCAAGATGTTCACGAACTTTCACTTTGTGAGCTTAATGAACAGAAGGAGATTGATCGCTGGATGAAGTTCATTTCTGATGAGATAATTTCCTCAACCTCTTTAATAAACCAAATTTCGAAGAAATGACTTCTATCGAAGTTTCAACAACAACCTTTTCCTCAGGCTTCTCTGTTTCAATTGTAAGCTTCTTAGGAGACTTTGTCTTAACTAGTTTCTTGGGGCTTTCTTAAGAAACATCATCAGCTTCCTTCTTCAATTTCTTCACCTACTTGGATGATCCTTCACCACTTGTTTTCAATAAAATCCCAGTTTCTACTGAAGGATTAACATGTTTCCAATAGTCTAATAATATGGAATTTTTTCGATCAACCTTCTTCAACATCCCATCAGGAATTCAAGCAATAATTGGGAGAATTTTAGAATCATCCTCAACTTTATTCAGAAAATGATACTTCATGAAATCTACCTTTTCTTCATCTTCAAGAATTAGAATACCTTCTTCCTAATAGGCAGACTTAATAATCAAAATCCAGTAGCGTGCACACAAAATTCCTTTAACCACATTCGTGTTTTCGACACTCTTGATAAACTCTTTCCAAATCTGAGTAGCATAATCAACGCTAAGATCATAATACAAACCTGCTACCATAGCATAAACTTCCATCCTCCCCTTGTCAAGCCCTAGACTTCGCCCAGTTAAGCAACAAATGTAAATTCCGAATAAAAAATTCCATAAACAAGGAAGTCCAGATTTCTTAAAGGTACTGATCTTGACAAGTGGTGGCTGATGGCCCATTTCATTAAATATAAACATGACTTGAGAACTTGTAGGTTGAAAGAATGGAGAAGAATTTGGAATAGCCAAGATTTGAGTAAACATATTCTTCGTGAGTCGAATTCTCTTTTCATTCACTAGATTGAATGTGATTACATTAGTGGCTTTGATGTAAGAAGTAGCGAAACCCGCCATTGATAACCAGGACATTCGAATTTTAAATGCATTGAGCATCGCGGTAGCAAGACCTGAATGTTGAAGAGCAACAACCAGTATCTTGAGTTCTTTAGGATACAGTGAGACATCTTCTTCAACCTAATAATTCGTGCTTTGAATCTTCATAATCGGTTGTGATAAAACTTATTCAGTAGTGGTATTTTGAGAAGCAGCCATTGTTGAAAATTTGAAAATAATTTTGAAGAACAGGGAATTAGGGACTTTTGATCTTTTAAGTTTTTTTAATGCATAATTATAAAAGGATATAAGAGTATTCTTTTATATGTATCTCTTGAATATGATTTTGAAATGGTATTAGCATTAAATGAGATCCGACGTGGCTCCTTGAAACTCGCACCCTATAGCCGATAAACTAGCCACGCGTGAAAAAGCGACCATCACATCTCCTTGAAACTTGGAAGGAATACAAAACGTCGTGTGAAACATCCTGTTTTGTACCCTCAATAGAATAGTAACCGTCACTAGCCTTTGGTATGGAAGTAGGGCTCTTTCACTTTTTGGATGAAAAGCGAAGTCATATTCCAGACTTTCGAAATCATCAGCCTGATTTGGTATTACTCAGAACCTCAAGGATTTCATGAGTGCAGTATGCCAATAGAATAAGATAAGAAGCAAACTAATGAAAAGTTGGGATCTGTGATGTTGAAAAATATAATTTCAAGAAAAAATCCGTTAATCCCTGGTTAAAAGGTTGTTTCATTAATCATCAAGAGAGATGACCAACTGCTTGTGTGGTTTCCCGTCAATTACAATCAAATGCTTATAAATAAGTATCAAAAAATCCGTTAATCCTCGAGTTCAGAAGTGCGAGTTCAGGGTGCTTGGTGTACTTAAGAAGGATCGAATTGGCGAGTCAATGGATAGACTCGACGAGTTGAGTCGTGATTGTGGTCACCTGTTTAGTGAACAACTCGGCGAGTCGGCAGGCTGGACTCGGCAAGTCCGTGGAAGAATGAGAAACCCTAATTCCTAGGGTTTGCACCCTATTTAAGGAGCCTTAAGCCCCTATTTTGGCCCCTTATCACCCCTCTGAGGACCAGAAGGCCTAAAATCATAAGTGATTTAAGAAGGAAATCTTCAAGACTAAGGAGCTTGGATCAAGGAGGCTTGAGGAGATTTGGTTTACTCTTCAGTTGGGGGTTGTTTTGAGGTAAGGTTTCATCATCCTGGATTTATTCCTTCTACATCCACCTTTTGGAGCTTTAGGGTTTGTTGGGAAGATTTTATGTTGAGATATCGATGCATGAGTTAGATCTGGAGTTGAAACTCTAGATCTGAGTTCCATATGGATTCTATGTGAAGAAATCCCTTTGATTAGTCATGCAAAGTCCAGCCCTAATGAGTTAAGTTACATTTTAACTTGGTTTTTGATGAATGGGTCATGGAAGCACGTAAAGGTAGCAACTTTATGTTGCTAATGAACTATAGGGACCCTGATATAGTGTTTGGAGTAACGGAGTGGCTCTGTGACTCGAGATTATGGAACTTCGCGGTTAGAATCGGCGAGTCTGGGAGGTGACTCGGCAAGTCGGACTAGAGATTTGGCATGAGTCTCCTAGTAACTCGACGAGTCACATAGGTGTACTCGACGAGTTGCATGAAGATAGGCAGGAACTCAACGAGTTAGAAGAAAAAATCGGCGAGTCTGTTGAAGATTGCCTTGGACTCGGCGAGTCTGTTCTTGGACTCAGCGAGTCTGGTCGTGGATTCCTAACCTTTTCTGGTTGAACGGTGAATCGTTAAGTCAAGGGAGGACTTGGTGAGTTGAGCAAGAAGGGACCTGGAATTGTGGGACCCGGCGAGTCGACAGGGCGACTCGGCAAGTAGGATCACACAGAAAGGTGGACTTTGGCTGAGGACTTTGAATTTGACCAAGAGTTGACCATTTGACTTCCAAGGGTATTTTGTTAATTATTGGTATTTATTGAGTTCAGTATTTTGGTATTGATCAGTGGTGGTGTTCGTGTCGGAGGTTGGAGTAGCGTGATCTTATTTATGTAGATCGGCTTTGTGAGGTGAGTTATCTTTACTATATCGACAGGGTCTAAGGCACCAAGGCCGACGCTTTATCAGATGGAAATCAGGGTAGTTATTATGTTATTGCTTTGCTTTATGTTTACTTCCTGGTAGTTAGGATGGTATATGTTAGAGACCTGGTTTAGGTCGGAATCCTGGTATATAGGATGATGCTATGTTAGTGACTGGTTAGGTCGGTATCCTGGTTAGAGTGTGCTATGTATGTGATCTGCTAGATTGGTTGATTACTGTTGAATTGCTATATGATTATATGCTTATGTGCACATGGTTGGTTGACTGGGTTGGGTTGAGGCGGGTCTTGCTTTGTGATGTAGGCCAACATACCTAGGGCGGACCGGATATCCCGAAGGCCCAACGAGCGGTCCGGATAGGCTGTAGGTCCCACGAGGCCGAACCAGACATGCCAAGGTTCGGAGAGTAGACCATGCCGACTGAAGGCCCGGTGCGGGCGGAGCAACCACACTGCAGACTTGATGTATATGGCTAGACTCGTAGGGTGGACTAGGTGGACTGAAGGCCCGATGTGGCAGACCAGTTATACAGTAGACCTGAAATGCATGACTGCTCTGTTTATGATATAATATGTTATGAGTATGGTATATGTGGTTGGTATTTTGGGGGTAACTCACTAAGATTTTGGGCTTACAGTTTTCAGTGTATTGTTTCAGGTATTTCAGGAGATCGTGGCAAGGTGAAGCGGCGATCGTACCGCTCCTCATGTTTTATGTATTTATGATGTGGTTCTAGGAAATACTCTGATAATAAATGAATTGAAAACCTTTTTGTAATGATTTAATGAATATGGGCTGTTTTTCAAAATTTAAATTGGTTGAAAATTTTTGGATGTTACAAGTTGGTATCAGAGCCTTGGTTTGAGTGAATTGGAGGAACATTCGTGTGAACCTAGTCTCAAATCAAGGAGATTTTTCAACGAGAAATTAAAAATGGTGTTAAAAAATAAGTAAAAGAGGACGCAGAGGGTACGATATGCCGGAGCCAGTAAGTTACCCCAAAATTACGATACAAGTGATGTGTTAATGTGATATGTTAAAACAACATGCTAGTGTTAGGCTACTGATCTTCAGGAAGTGCATGATACAGTTGCCTAATTATGATGCCTACTAGCCTAGGGTCTCCTTTTATGAGAGTTTTAGTGTTCCTCTAGGAGTGAGGACATAGTGCTTGCTATGTTCGTTAGTGCTTGGGACGTTGTGATGTAACTTGAGACAAATATGGGTATGTGTGGAAGGTAGTATGTGTCCGTACTACTGAAAGCACAAGACCCATACACGTATGAAGGAAGTTACAACCCCTGGGTGGTTGATTTGAAAGTCATTATGGGTGGTTATGAGAGGTTTCTGAGGATCTCATGGTGTATTGCAGAATGGCGATTACGAGACGCTTCGAGGCAGGAGTAGGAGAGGGTGGTCAGGAGGGGTCAGCACCACCCGAGGTTGTTGGCCAGATGAGTACGGACGAGTTGGATGTCAGGATTCGTGGGATCCTGCATGATGAGGTTGCTGCTATGTTCCGGGCTGAGTTGTCGGAACTGTTTGGTTCGATCAAGACCATCATAGTTGAGTACTTTGATGAGCGTTATGCAGCTCTTACTGAGATGGCTACCGTGGTGGCTATAGCGGCTGTAGCAGTGGCAGGAGGAGTAGCCGGTAGAGGTTTTCAGTATCGGGACTTCGACAATAAGAAGCCCCTTACTTTCGATGGAGTTTAGGATCCGATCATTGCGATGCGATGGCTATCGGATGTGGAGGGGTGTTTCTTCACATGTTCATGCCCTGCTGATCAGAGGGTGAGGTGTGCTCTGAACCTGTTGAGTCTCGGGGAAAAGGATTAGTGGAGGGTGGCTACGGGGTCTTATTATGATGAGAAGTGGGTTGCGGTTACATGGGATTAGTTTTGGGAGATGTTCAGCACTCATTATGTTCCCCAGGTTGAGACGGAGAGGTTAGCCCAGGAGTTCCTGGAGCTGAAACAGGATGCAGAGTCAGTGACGGAGATCACTAG